GCTACATAGTGGGACTATACCTTAAAGAAAAGTAGCTGGAGAGATGGCTCAGTGGTTAAAAATACTGGTTGTGTTAGCACCCACATGGCAGCTAACAACTGTTGGTGGCCAGGGGATCCAACAGCCTCTTCTGACCTCTGCGGGCCCGACACAGGTGCACTTACCTACATGCAGGCAATACAAGCATACACATAAAATAGAAATAATAAAATTTTTTTTAAAAGCTATGGATCCGTGATTCTACCTTTTTGGCTACAAGGCATATACTTCAATTCTGGGTTCACCACCAACAGAGCTTGTCAGCAGTGAGCAGTGCTGGACACTGACTCCAAGACAGGGTCTTGTATGTCCTAGTCAAGTGCTGCACCACCAATTGTAACCCAGCTTTTTACCAACTCATGTAAATATATAAGAATAAGTCTGCTCTTGTTAGGAAATCTGATTATTAGTTGACTAGGACTTCTCAATCTCCGCATTATTTACGTGTTGGTCTGGATAATTCTTTGATGTGGGGGTTTTCCTGTGCAATATTGTGTGTTTAGCAACACCCCTGGCCTCATGCCAGTAGAAGCTCCCAGTTAGGACAACCAAAAACATCCCTAGACGTTACCAGATTGCTTCTAGTTGAGAACCACTAATTAAACAATCTTTATCTCTTCTGAAACTTGGTGTATGCTGAGAGTAATTCTTATATATATATATATGAAGTTCAATGTATGATTTAACAATCCCACACATCCCAGGATTTAGGAGCACACAGAACCACAGTGATGTCATCAGGATGTATGAAGCAATTCTAGGGGTCAGCACTGCTAGGTAAGATTTTAGAGACCATATCACCAAGACTGCAGTTGTCAACCAAAGGTCCATCACTTGTCCCCACTCAGCAATTTTCTGGACTCTGTGAGCATACCTTTGTGACAAATTTTTTCAAATATTTTATTATTTTAATTTTATGTGTATTAGCGGATTGCCTGAATGTAGGTGCACCTGTGTTGTGCACTGGCAATGGAGGTAAGAAGAGGGTGTCAGATCCCCTGGAACTGGAGTTATGGACGGATATTAGCTACCACATTGGTGCTAGGAACTGAACCTGGGTTCTCCACAAGAGCAGTCAGTGCTCTTAACTGCTGAACCATCTCTCCAGCCCCAGTGAGTTGTTATTTTAAAGATTTAAATTTTGGGGTGGCTGGAGAGATGGCTCAGTGGAACTTACTGCTCTTCCAGAGCACCTGAGGTCAGTTCCCAGCATCCACATGGTGGCTAAAACCTGTCCATAACTCCAGTTCCAGGGGATCTGATGCCCTCCTCTGGCCTCTGTGAGCACTACTGGGCTTGCAAGTAATGCATGCAGGCAAAACACTCATACACATAAAATTAAAACAAATAAAATCTTAGCCGGCATGATGGTACACGCCTTTAATCCCAGCACTCAGGAAGCAGAATCAGATGGATCTCTGTGTGAGAGAGGCCAGTCTGGTCTACATAGTGAGTTCTGGCCACCTGGGGCTATAGGGAGATCCTGTCTCAAAAAAACAAAATACACAAATACATAAAAGAAAAAGAAAAACAATGCATCTTTTAGAAATATTTGAACTTTATATTATTCATGCGTGTGCATGTCTGTGTGTGCGCCACATGCATAATGGTACCGGAAGAGAAGAAGGCATCAGCTCTCTTGGAGCCACAGGTACAACGGCTTACAAGCTGCCCAGTGTGAATGCTGGGAACTGACCTCGGGTCCTCTGGAAGAGCAGAGTGCTTCAAAACACTGAGCCATCTCTCTAGGCCCCTGAGTTATTTTTTTAAATTATCATTTATTTGGGGGTATCTCATAGACCCTCCCAAGCAATACTGGCTCTTGCCATCCCTCTTGGTTACCCACCAGAACCTGGTTGTAAGACTTCGTTGCTGCATAGTTGGGTCACAGGACATGGAGAAAGCAAGCTGGTACTGACCTGGAAGGTTCTTCCCTGCTGGCTAGTTTCCATAGTGCTGGAAAGTGCTATACGGACTGCTGGGGAAGAAAAGTCATCAACAGTCTTACCCAGCTGTGACTCCTGCAAGCTCAAAAATTATCAGCCTGGGCCCTGGAGAGTTGGCTCAGTGATTAAGAGCACTGGTTGCTCTAGCAGAGGACCTGATAAAAATGGCTGTGCATAGTGGTACTCACCTTTAGTCCCAGCACACGGAAGGCAGAGGCAAGCAGGTCTCTGTGAGATCAAGACTAGCCTGGTCTACTTAGAAAGTTCGAGCTGGGGCTGCAGGGAGAACCTGTCTCAAATAGACAAAAAAGACCCTAGGATTCATGTGTCCAGTTATCCTTTTATATACTGTTTAAAGAATAACAGGCACTTTTGTACTTGTCTTTTATCTTTTTACAGCTTTATAAAATAAGGAAGGTATTATCTCACAGAAGAGGAAATAGCCCAATATTAACTGCTTCTTCTTCAATGTGAAGTTCCGCAAGTTTCTGGGATCTTGTGTGCACAGGTGAGGTGGTTGGTGGAAGGACTGCAGAGTGGTGATGGGGGTGAGGAATGAAAGAAGAAAGGAATACAAAGTACAAAGCTCCCTTCTGTTCTGAGGGCGGCTGCAGCCTTGAGGGACTAGGGAAGGGGTATCATGATTGAAGCCGGTGTCCCAGACATTGTGGGATTGAAGCCAGTATCTCAGAGTACAGATGGATCAGCCAGGCTGTAAACTACAGCCTGAAAATTAGAGCCACCTGCCCGTGTAGGCCTGTGTGGGCTTTGTCCTCACTTGCCTGGATGCACACAGTCATCTGAGGAGGTCTTCTAAGCAGACCTCTGAAATGAGACCTCAGGACTGTCTTCATGAGCTAGCTCTGGAGTGAATGGGGCAGGAAGGTAAGGGGGAATGTCAGTGGAATTCCAATAGAGGAGACAGCACGGGGACGTGGGGTGGGCTAACAGGTGGGAAACTGGCCAGTGTGCAGATCACTGCTTGCAAACATGGGCAAAGGCAAGATCATGAAAAGTCTTATGTCCTGTGAGATGTTGACTGGATTATACACAGTAAGAAACATGAAGCTTTGCAAAGGCTACTAAATGAAAGGGGACTACGTTTTCACTCAAGTAGTATGAAAGACATTGAGACTTATTGGAGTTGAAGAGTGTGTGGTGTCCAGGCAAGAAGATGGCCCAAGCAAAGGAAGAAGTAGTCATGGAAGGGACAGATCTGGGAAAAGTTGTAGATGAGATTCTCAGGGCTATATGACTGAGTCCTCACCGTATGCCAGGCACTAGGCGAAAGCCCTTGATTTACATCATAATGAATCCTAATTCTACCATGAAGTATAAGTACTGTCCTCATGAACAGATGAAGACACAGAAGTGAATGGTAGCTCAGTAAACTCCAAGTGATGACACACATCATATAACTGAGCTAGGACTCAGTTCTTGGTCTGTTTTTCTCAAAAACCATCACCTTCCCTCCTGACTCCTGGTTGTTAATCAGAGAGATAGAAGAGTCAGGATCACAGAAAATGGAGGAAGCTAACTGTCAACTTGACAGACTCTGAAATCATCTGGGAGATGGGTCTCGGCATGCCTGTGGGGGATGATCTTGATTGTAGGAATTGAAGTGGGAAGACTCACTCACTGGGTGGCAGCATTCCCTGGGTGGGATCCTGGACTGTATGAGAGGAAGCAAGTTGAGTGGCCATGCATGGTCCTCACGCCTTGCTTCCTGATTGTGAATGTGATGTGACCAGCTGCTTCAAGCATGTACTGCCTTGACTTCCTACTTTGATGGACTATCCTTGAACTGAGAGCCAGAATAAATCCATAAGTTGCTCTAATCCAAGTTTTTTCCCAGTGATGGGAACATAAACTAAGACAACGATACAAGAGGATACTCAAGTTGTGAGGAGAATGGATTTAGTTTTGGACTCTAGTTACTGGCACCAGAAAGAGTGGGTCCAGAGGAGGGTTCAAATGAGAGACAACAGAGAAAATACCAACTCTCTTCTAGCCCAACTCTTTCATCCCGAGTTCCACAGTGAGCCTTGGAGCACCTTTCTGATACCCTCTTCTGCTACTGAAGGTCAAAATGTTCTCCTAAGAGTAAGTGAAAGGAGCTGGGAGGGGTGATAAATACCTATGATAGTAAGACCCTGTCACAAACAGAAAAAAGCCTAAAAATGTGCAAATGTGGGCAACACCTGCAGGAAGACAAAGGGAGTATGGTCTAAGTGGAGGACTCACGCTGACAAGGTCCTGGTTGACTCTGATGAAGGCCCAGATATTTGATAAAAACTGACTTGGGAGCCCAGCACTTTCCCCAGCAGGACAAACTACCACAGACCAACCAATTGTAAAGATCTAATCAGGTCAGGTGGTTCACATCCTCTCAAGTCAACCTGCCAAGCGTGAGGCTTCAGAGTCAGTGTATAGAGATTTCTAGCAGTGCTCTGAACTGACAGGAACTAAGTCACAGGTGAGGGGTGTTGGTGGGATAGCCTGGGGACTGATGAGGACTATGGGGAGTCCTTGGGGAGGTTCTTTATCCTCAGCCTGTAACTTTGGTGGGAGGTACCTATGTTCAAGGCCCCCTGGGCTTGTGATGAGACACTGGTGAACCGTTGGTTTTCTGAGGGTCAAGAGTAAGAAGCACTTTGTTCTTCAGAAGCAAGACAGTTCTTTCCTTCCCACCTTTCTCAGAATAGAGCACATACGAGCAGAGAAAACATCAGAGAAAGCCCCCGACCTCAGAGCATGCTGGTCAGAAGGTTGGGACTAAGTGTTCTAGAGATACTAGAGAGGAAACCAGACAGCAATGGCTCTTTCCTCCTACCCATCCAACCCCCTCAGCACAGGGGCTTCTCAAACACAGGGACACTCCCTCCTCCCAGACTGGTCTTTCACCCAGGAACCTTATTTAGCCCCATCCCATTCTAGGCTGTCCTTGGCCTTGGGCAAGAAGCAGCCCTGCTGCCTATGCACCTAGCTGTCTTCAGCTTCTTCCTGTAGAACTGTGTGACTTGCCACGGCAGCCTGTCTCCTGTTCCTTCTGTGTTTATCAGGAAGGGTGCCAGGAACCAGGGAGACCTCAGAAGCATCTCTCACCCCAGGACCTGATTCTGTGTTGTAGCCCAAGGACCCGGTGAGACTGAGACATGGTGATGAACAGGGGAGAGGAGTTGGCTATAGATGGCTGATCAGAGGGAGGCCTTGGGCAAGTGCCTTTTCTCTCTCTGGAGGGTCAGGATTTCTGTTGGATGATCTTCGAGGTACCGGCAGCTCTTCGGGGGTCAGCAAGGGCCATAGGGAAGGGCAGAGAAGCTGGAGGCTCTGGGAAGCGTGGAAAGCCCCTCTAGATCTAATCTGCTTCTACTCACCTTAACTCTACAGCGGGAGGAATGGCACCGGCTGTGGTCCGGCTCTTGTTCCTCCAGCTCGTTCTAAGGCCAAGTCTGGTGATGGGCAGCAGGATGCAGACCGCCATCAAGAACTTTCGCACCTTATATATCGACTATCCCAGGGTTCACTATCCAAAGGGTTTCCATGGCTACTGTAATGGCCTTATGGCCTACGTGCGGGGAAACTGCAAGACTGGCACTGCCCTAAGGTCCATTATGTAGTCCATGCCCCTTGGGAAGACATCTATGTACTGCAAGTACAGTGAGAACTTCTGTGAGAATTACAATGAATACTGCACTCTCACTGAGAGCTCCTGCCCTCTCACAGTCTGTACCTTGGGCGCTCAACAGCCAGCACCCAGCTGCAGCTAAAATACCCTGACCAACCACAGGCTCCACCTCTACCTCTTACAAGCCTCTACAGGCCATCCCAAGGCCACTTCCCAAACCCCAAGTCTTGCAGCAAGTCTTCCTGACTTCTCACTCAGGCAGAGCTCATCCTTCAGGCTCTTACAGCCTTCTCATGACCCCACCACCATCTTCCCTCTCCCAGGGACAGGAAAACCCACCCAAGATGCTGACTGTGTCCAGCTGGCGGTGCTTGTCCATCCACTGGGCCAGATTCTGACTTCTGGATGGGCCCAGGACCCCAGCTCATGCCATGGTAACTGGCCTCCTGCTCAGGTATCTCTCCCTGCCCCCACTGTCGCTCTCAGCCTTTGAGCCTCCATGGCTCCCATTTCCCTTAGAACTCCTGCCACTCTGCAGCCATAGAAACCTCCCTAGGACCCTTAGGCCCGCTTTGCCTCACTTCCCCACGTTCCTCCTCACCCCAGCCTCCAGCCTGCTCTTCTCTGTGAAGTGACATTTCCCTTTCATATGTAGCCTGTACTTGTCTCCTGCCTTCTACCACAGAGCCTAGCGCTGCTTCTTTGTGTTACTCCGCACAGCCATTAGTTGTCCTATTTTCCCTTATTCAAACATTCTCCATCTACCTCTCACCTTGGCCCCCTGGGATCTCAAATGATCTTTTCTCCTCTGTTCCTCCCAAGGACCCTGAATCCTTTTCCTTATATCTCTTCCCAACATTTCCCAGACTCCAGAGTCTGCTGCTCAGGTGGCAGCAGATGAGGCAGACCCAGTTCTCCTCATGGAAAGTTCACAAACCACTGGGGGAAACTGGGCAAAAGGTTCAAGAGACCTCTCTGTGCCGATTTTTGTAATTTCTTGTGAATATGTGTGATTTCAACATAAAAAGTTAAAAACTCAATTATGATTTCGTTCTGTTTCCTGCTCTTGGAGTCCTGGTGACCACCCACCTCTGCAGTCAGAATTACTCTGATTTATTCTGAATTACTCTCAGCAGTCAGAAATGACTTCTTTTCTGTGGGCCCTGTGATGGAAGTGGGGCAGGTGAAACCTGGCTCTGGGCTGGGTGCTACAAATGGATTCTCCATTCTCTAGAATAGATTTCAAAAAGGTGTTGGGTTTCCCTGCCTGGTTTCTGCTTCTCTCCCAGCAAGTTTGGACTGCAACAGATGAGGACGGTGAGAGGTACATAAAAGGTCTAGTAGCTGATGTCTGCGCCATGGACGTCAAAATCAAGAGCTACTGCTTCCTTTTGGGAGGGAGGAGGGATGGATGCCATGCTGTGTGAACACACTAAGCCAATACTTCTGCTTCTACTCCTTGTTTAACTCTTTTTTTCTTTTTTTGTGAATTTTATACAACATAGTTTTATCGTATTTAAACTCTTCCCATAAATGGTCTCTTATCTCCAAATCTATTCCTCAGTCCTACACTTAGAGGCAGTTAACAAGGAGAACTCAAATCTTTGTAGGCACAAGGGTGCAAGGCTGTAAACCTTGACTCCTTGGGCTTTCTTCCCCCCAACTACCAATGGGCCAACCTGTCCAGCATCCTTATGAGACCAAGCACACTAGCTGCTGCAACACGGATATTTATTGTTTCTGACTCCCCGCTATTAAAAGCACAGGATCAGGGGACTAGAGGCCAAGATGGGGCCCTCTACTTGCTGTTCTTCTTATCATAGGTGCCAGCACCCTTGTAGCCGCTCACATAGCCTGAGTTGTCTGTGGTTTCTTCTCGTCCTTTGATGCCCTTGCCTTTGCCACTCTTGTCAAAGCGCTCCTTGTGGGCGCCAGTGTACTTGCTGGTATCCGTCAGACGGTCGACTCCACCCACTGTTGTTGCTTTCTGCAAACAGAGGATGAGTTCGAGCCTTCCTCCCCTGCACTGTTACAGCTCTTCCCCACAGACGGTCTTAGAGCTTAGAACGCATGCTTAGAGCTCTTGCTCTGCCTCTGGCACAGAGAAGCTTCCTCAGAGCCAAGAAGCAGCTGTGGGCAGGAACTCTGGCAGAGCCATCCACTCATGAGACAGAGGGAATCTTCTCTAGGAGTATATGATATGTGGGAAAGGACAGTGGACTTTCTGTCTCCAGAGGAGTTATTTTGACCTAGGATGCTGCCAGAAGGCTGCAGTTCCAAGCCTTAGACACAATGTGTAGAGTGGAAAACACTGTTTATGCAGAGGGAACAATTAGAAAGAGGCAGAAGGCCCAAGATTAAACATTAAGTGTAGGTGGATGACTGGGGACCAGGTACCAAGTCCTCCAATGTTAACCTATCTCCAATGCCACCAAAGACTTAGATACCAGGCTCGGAAACCAGAGACCCAGGAAGGAGTTGAAATTCTACTACTAAAATGGTTATGCTTTCGCTAGGGGTGAGCTGGGCACCCCAAACTGCTCTGCACCTTGGATAGGTTGCTTTCTGTCTGCAGGCCATAGTTCTCTTAACCTTTACAATGATAACATGGTTTCTAAAGTCTGTTCTAGTAGCACAAGGCACTGCCAGCTGTCTACCCTCATCTTCTAAGTTATACTGCCGACAGGATCTGGGACGTGGAGGACAGGAAGGGAAACTGGAGCAGTGGGGACTTAGGAAGTAGGGTCATGCCCTTGAGATGCAGAATGTTATCACTGAGGCAGGTGTGGTGACACACAGCTGCAATCCTAGCACTCAGGAGGCTGAAGCATGAGGATCCCTAGTTCAAAGCTACTATAGGTCACATAGTTCATTTCAGGACAGTGAGCTAAGAGAAGAAAATCCTGTTTTAGGACAAAAAGAAAACAAAAGAAACAGAAACACAAAAATGAAGAATCCCACTCACAGTAACGCCAGGGGTGGCTGGGTCCTTTGCCTTCCATGAGTTTATAAACGTTCTCCAAAGCCTCATCTGGATTGTTTCCCTTGAACCGCTTTTGGCCAAGTTCTTTCACAGCTTCTTGGAACTGTAGAAATGTGATGGTTCTGGCGTTCTTGGCCCTGGGCAGTCAGAAGGAAACCCAGTAACTGTGGAATTCTCCCAAGGTCTACTTTCCCTTAGGCAGGCATGGCTTCTGTTCTCCTATCAGTGAATGTCTTGACGACAGGAAATAGAACAGTGCCAGGCACCTGCCCAGTGTTCCCTAGAAATCTTCCACACAAGAACCCTGCCACGGCCAACCACATCTGGCTCCTTACTTCACTTTGCTGAACACAATGTCAACATCTGTGGAGGTCACTGTCTTGCCATCCATGATGTCACAGTCTTTACAGAGTTTGGAAAAGTTCTTGTTGTTCAGTTCTGTGCCACTGCTGGATGAGTCTCCGAATACAGCAAATCGATGGAATGTTCTCTCTGCTTCTGAGGCCATGGTAAACCGAGGGGCGCCTCAGGAGGGAGGGAGGATAGGAAGAGAAGGTTGAAGAGTAAGGTGGGTGATAATGTTAAAAAATCAGCATCAGGAGCAATGTCCCTCTTCCCTGCACTCGTCTCCCATCTTCCCCTCCCATCGGACTGCCGCAGCCTGAGTCTCCCCTCCCCAGTACTGTGGGCACTACTGTCAAGCCCGCATGCCCGTGTACTGAATAGTCCCCCTTCCCCACCACTTTCAAGTACTAGGGTGCCTAGCTGGTGTCTGCCCCTTCCCAGCCTTTGTCTGCAGGTGTGTGCAGCTGTGTGGCAGCCAGGAAATGTGGCCACACGGAGTCAAAAGGGTGGAGGCTAAAGCAGAGAAGGAACACTACGATGTCATAGTGCTGTGTGACATCACTTCTGGCTCCAGCTATGCCCTTGACAGGAGGGAGGGGCTTTGGGTCTCTCTAGTTCCTGTCTCCTCTTCTGACATCAGAAGCAGAGGGAATGGTCTGCTGATCTGTTGTCCTGGGAGAGTTCTCAGCAGTGAAATGCACTGAGATGAACGTCTCCAAGTTGTGCAAAGACTGTGGCATCATGGATGGCAAGACAGTGACTGTGCACTGAGCACGGTGCCAGCCTTCTGGCATCTTCAGATGGTCAAGCTCCTCTGTCACTTCAGTTTACCACTCCTGTGGGTCCCGGTAAAGCTGTGGTACACTCCACCCATAAACAGCTGATAGGCGAGAACCCAGGGAAGGGTCTTACTCAGTTCAGGCTGCTATCACAAAGCAGAACAACAGAAATTTATGACTCACAATTCTGGCCTTTAGGAAGCACCAGGAGTTGTGGTGTTTTGTGAGGCTTCTTTCCAATCCACAGGTGACACTTTCTTACTGTCCCCTCACATGGTGGGACAGAGGGGCACACGGGTTCCCTTGAGCCTTTTAAGTGCCTTTTATAAAGGCATTAATCTTCTTCCTGAAGTCTTATCCTCATATCTTCAAGGAACATCAAGACTCCCCTAAAGCCCTACTTCCTAAATTATCTTCAAGTAGGGAGATAGGATTTTTACATGTAAATTTTGGGGTGACCCAATGGCCAGAGCATTTGGAATTAATGAGAACAGACTGGCTTGAGCGGAAGACCGCCCTCCTGTCTCATCTCCAGGTCTGAGTTTACTGACCTGAATGGAGAATCCTGTTGCTTTTGGCAAACTGACTTCAGCAGGAATGTTAAGAACTTCCAGTACTGGACTCAGTAGGGGAAAAGTGGGGATCTTGGGATATAACAGATCTGGTGGGCCAAAGTAAAATGTCTGATGATAATTCTCAAACTCTGAAAATCTTCCAGATGAGTCTCTGTGCAGTGAAAAAGTATTCTGGACAAAAGCCCTGTAAGATAAGGGAACTTCAGGGACCCTAAAACGGAGCAGCTAGATTGGTCCCTGGCGTGTCCCTCCTACCTAATCCCTCATTCCTATAAACAGCTTGGAATCTTGTAAGTCCACCTCTTTCCATTCCTGTACTTTCATCCTTATTTAAGTCTTTTCAACTCTGCATCTCTACTGCTATCTGGGCTTCTGACTGACCACTGTTCTAAGTTCTACTCCACAACCCATCTCTACTACCCTCTCCCCAGTAATATTCACACAACAGGATTTTCTGTTCATTAGTCCTGCTCAAGATCATATGACAGCCGGGTACAGTGACACATGCCTGTAAGGAAGGACTCTGGAGGATGAAGTAGGAAGATCAAGAGTTCCAGGCCAGCCTCAGGCACATAGCCAGTGTGAGGACAGCCTGGGGTACCTGAAACTCAAAATACAAAACGAACCAAAACAAATGTGCTACAACTCAAGAATAGTCTGCGGCTCTTCACTGTCAAAGCTTTTTGTTTAGCATTGAAAGGCCTATACAACTTGCCCAAAATCTATCTTACCCAACATTACCTACATCAACACTGTTCCTAGTTGGGGCCCTAATGGCCTAATAGTTATACACTCAAGGCTACCCAGTAGAGGAAAGAGATTAGTCCCTGGTGGTGCATGAATCTAGTGGGGATTTGAACCTAGGTGTCTGTTTATTAACTGGGTGGCCATGGGCAAGTCTGTAAACATTTCTGAGTTGCAGTTTCCACATCTGTAACTGTTAAGGACAATAATACCCTTTGGTATTTGGGGATAACACATTCCCTTGCACATAATACCAAGTCTTAAAGTCTTCAAAGGAGCTTGCACATTCCTGCCTATACTTCCCTCCTGCTCTCTGCTGAATAGAATGCCCTTCTGTAGTTGGACTTCCTATCTGAGTGGCTCACCCTAGAAACACACCCCTTTCCTCCTCTGAATTATAGTAACACAACGGCTCTTAGCCTGTGGGCTCCAGCTGCCTGGGGTGAGATTTTCTGATTCTTTCCAGGCACCCTTAAATCTTTAAGCACACAGGAGATTGTGAATAGTAAATATTATGCCTTGCAAGTACAAGTATCGCTACATATACAGATGTGATTATCAGAACAGTATACAAAATTATTGGAAGCATTGCTGAATTTCCAGTTCATATCTTCTCTATTAAGAGAAACTGAAACCATTCTACAGAAATGGAAAGCTTTTCTTTCTCACTGGAAAAAAGTGGGGGAAAATACAAGACTTATTCTATACAATGATCTTATAGATTATTTTCTCTAATGCTTTCTATTTATATCCTTTCTCAACTACTAAATCTAAAACTTTTAGAGAAACTGTGGCCAAACTTCACGCTTCTTTGAATGTCATCTACCCACTGGCTTGGGCACAGCAGGTACGTGAAGCTGTTGCTTAGTTAAAGGCATAGTTTGAAACTGCTTCTGGCCCAGATGAAGGAGGTTACTGTCCCTGTTGGGACACTTGCACTCAGGCCTGGACGGGCTTGCCTGTTGGAAAAGAGCCTGTAAAGCAGATGCTGCCTTACTTACAGCAGCTGAGAGACCCTCAGGTCTAGGAAGTAAACAGAGCAGAGCTCAGTGGAAATTTCCCATCTCCCTGCCCTCCCCAAACCCCTGTGTAGGCCCCTTATCAGGTTCCCCCTGAGTCATCCTGACCTAGAGACTAATTTAGATGCTGTAACCTCCCTCTCTCCCTCCCCCACTCCAAGTAAGACTACTTTAGACTTGAGAGAAGCCTGCAGGGGAAAGTTCTCTTTCTCCTAGCGTCCCATTAGGGCAACTGAGACCTCTCTATCCTAGGCTTCAGTGGCTATGATCTTAATTCCACCGGGCTTTTTGACCAGGAGAATTTTAAACCTACTTCCAGATATGAAGGGCCAGGCAGGAAGCTAGAGTGCCTGACTTGTGTGCCAGTTTCCAGGGCAATATTTATGAAAACAGAGTAAAAAAGAACACGAAAACTTGGGGGACCTTTGTGGGACACGGGAGCTCTTTAGATTGGGCTTGTTTGTTGAAGGCTGAGTTTTAGCCTACCCAGGTCTCCTAGCCTAGGGTCCCCTCCTCCTCCCTCTGGGCCTCTCCTTTCCAACAGACCTGCCAAGTGGGGATAAAAGGGCCATTGATGTTCCTTGGATTGGGGGGAGGGGTTGCGGGTGGTGAGGGTGGTTCCCAAGCAGGGGGCGGGGAGCAATTTGGTGGTCCTGGGGTGGGGAGCAGTCTGTGCTGGTGTTGCAGTTGGCAGCTTGAGTCCCATTGGCCATTGTTTTTGACTGGCAGGGCGCCCAGCCCCCGAAATGGCAACTCAGGAACCAGGCTGCAGGGGGATGGTGGGGTAGGGCTGGGAGCTGGGGTGTGAGAACAGGGGTGGGGGTGGGAGGGGAGGAGGTAAAAGAAATTCAATCTGGTTTCCTTTCGCCTGAGACAGCTTCCAATTCTCATAGCCACATCTACTATTTCATTCCAGCTGGTCTTCCTCTAGAGAGCACGAAGAGTGTGCATCTCAGACCTGTATCTTGTTTGCGAGTCTAGGATGGAAAACCCACCGAGGCACAGAGTCGGGTCCAGGAGACAGCAGTCCAGGAGACATCACCGCTGGGGAATTGGCACTCAGCCCTTCGGAGCTGATCTCCCCCTCCTTTTCGGGGCTGGACTGGGCGGGGTTAGCGCCGAAGCCACAGGGTCTCTTGGGTCTCAGCCCAGGACACAGTGTCCTCCCCAAATCCCCACACCACCTCAGCTGGGCTAACTCCGCCTCCGCGCCTGTTTACCCAGGAGTCTGAGCCCTTGGGGGTCCCCAGCTCCTCCTCTGCGCACCCCCCCTTGGGGCCTTGACCTGGGAGTCCCCGTTGGCCATCCTCTTTCCCCTCCTTCGATCACCCTCTATTTATAGCGGCCCCCAGCCTTTCCTAACCCCCCTTCCTTGTTGTCTAACTTCTCACCGAGCGGCGGGAGAGCGGGCGTAGGAAAGCTGCAGAGGAGGTACCAGGACCCGCGCGCTCTGAGACCGAATTCCTGCGCCCCGGATGCCCGGTCCCTGGAGGCGCGGGCACAGCCGCCCCACCCAGCCCGGGGACCCGGGTGTCAGCGGGGGCTCTCGCCCGTCTCCTCCTCCCTTAACCCCGCTCTCGCTTCCGGGCCGGTGGGCTGGTGCCGCTGAACTCGTGAAGGGCCTCAGTCTCCCCTTCTCTGCGCCCCCACCACTGATCCCGGGTGACGAAGGGAACCAGAAGTGAGACTGGCCGAAGCCAGGTCACGATCGGCGCGACTACTGAGGCGTGCGTGGGGGGACCCCTTAGCCCTAGAAGGGGGTCCCCACGCACAGCCCACGTCGCGCCGCTTGCGGGTGGTGTGGGGAGCGGGGAGAGCCTGGGAGCATCCGGCAGCTGGCTTCCTAAGGCCCCGCTCCCGGGGCAGCCTGAGCCCTGGGCGGGGTACAGGGGCGTGCCTACGGGGGTCTGGGGCGGAGCTGCCCGGAGCTGCCCGTGGGCGGGCCGGGGGCGGGTCTGTGGGGAGCCGGAGCCGGGGCGGGCCCGAGTCAAAGGCGAGTGAAGGTGGAAGCGTCCGCGGTGGCAGCAGGTAGGGGGAGGGGCGGGCGGGGCGGCGGGGCCTGGCAAGCACCGGCGGGGCGGTGGGCTGATGGATCCCGGAGCCGGAGCTGCGGGCTCCAGGGAAGGGGCCCACGCAAGGGGCGCTCGGCGGCTGCACAAAGGCGGAGGCTCTGCGAAGTGCAGGGCGTGTTTGGGGTGTTGCGCGAGATCGTGTCCAGGATCTGGGGTGCTGCGCATCGGCGGTGCAAGGGCGCTCTGGCCCCACGCAGACGGGCAGCTCAGGACTCCCAGGGCCCGGCCCGGCCAGCCACAAATCCTCCCTATCCCTTCCGGGCTGGCACTTGCGTTTGCAGGCGGTCGGGCGAGGCGGGAGATGGTGGGGCCTCCCTACCCCCTCCCCTTTCTTCACCCGCAGGACCTATACCGAGGCTCTTTGCAGGAGAGAAACGAAGGCACAAGGCTTGTTTATGTGTAAATGGTGGAGGGACACGCCGTGCTTGCTACTCACCTGTCAACTAACAGCTGTCAAAACTGAGTAGTAACTGACTGGGCTAAGGTCACTGGTAGTGGCTGTAGGGTTAGAATCCAGCGGTTCTCACACCGTCATGCTGGTCCTCCTTTTCAGCACACCTTCCCTCCAAACCTCCACCCCAGCTTCGTGTTTCCCTGCAGGCCCCTCAACCTGTATTGATTAAAGCCCAGAGAGGACATGTTCTCTGGACTCAGAGATTAGGGAGGGTTAGTGACCCCAGGAGTCTGGATCTTGGCTGTGGCGTTCTGACCGTAAAAGATCCAAGTGTGTCTTGCATGTCATTCACCTTGTTTCTGTGTTTTCCCAGACCCCAGAGTCAGGAGGAAGAACCCTGACCTCTAGGCTCACTGCATCCAACCAATAGGAGCCCAGTAAACTGACCCCACCTACCCCCAGGGTGCATGCTCTCCCTTTGCAAGTCTACACCCCTGCTCTGCGGCTCTCTAGCCCCTCCAGTGTCGAATGTATGCTCATTTATTTGCAGTTGGGAGGGAGTCTTGAGTCTTAGGAGAGAGACCTCGGTTGGGTTGGATATTCACGCCTCTCTGTTGCATACTCCAGTTGATCATTGCCTTGTTTTTAGCCCCTTGAGCTGCTGACATTGGGGCTTTAGTCGAAGGTCATAGTCAATTGTGAACTGTCGCTATCCTATCCTTTGGTCCCTTTAGAGTACACAGTCAGTGAGCCACAATGTGGAGTGTGGGGTGTCCCCTAAATATAGCCCAAGAAACTGGAGCCGCACTGGTACTCCACCCTGGTATTTCCATCCAGGATAGGAGAGGGAGGGGCGTCTGGAGATGTGGGTGTTGAGGGGCAACAGTGGGTTAAAAGTCTGAAGAGCTGTGGTGTTCTGATTCCTCGTTTGCTGTCCCTCCTCCTAGTTGCCCTGGAAGTGGGGAAACGGGGACAGGAAAGGCCTTCTGTGTGTCCTGGGGTCTTCAGCTCATGGGTCGCTCTACACCCTGCATGGTCCTGGACTGAGTATAAGCCAGGTGTGTTTGACAGGGTGTGAGTGGAGCAGCCTCCCACGCTCAGTTTCCTTGACCTGCCAGGCCACCATGGCAGAGCTGCAGGAGGTGCAGATCACGGAGGAGAAGCCACTGCTGCCAGGACAGACACCTGAGACAGCCAAGGTTACTGGAGACCCTCTGACTTCCCTACCAGAATCCCATACACTGAGCATCCCCTTGCTGCGCAGCTTCCCACGCCCATGGCTCTCATTCTAACGCACATCCCTCCTCTCTCCACCTCTTCCCATCTCTTGTCCTAGACACTGCGAAAGGGAGCTTAGACCTTGTCTTGTCACTACACTAACCCTCATCCTCTCTTTGTCTTTGGTCTCTGTTGGTCTCTCTCTACCTCCCTCCCTCCCTGTGTCTGTCTCTCCATCTGTGACTCTGTGGCTGTGTGTATCTGTCTGTGTGTGTGTGTGTGTGTGTCTCTCTTCAGGAGGCTGAGTTAGCTGCCCAAATCCTTCTGGACCAGGGACAGGTAACTGTGGGGACTGTCCCGGGTCAGGGGAGGGGGCAATGAGGTGTTCTTCTCTCCCCCAGTATTGAGAGGACCCCATCCTTGCTTCCTGTGCCTCTCCTATCTCTTTCCCTTTTCTCTCCTCAGAGTTCCTTGGTGCTCTCTAGTCTTTCATTCCTTTGCACCCTCGAACCCAGTTCCGCCATCTTATTTTCCTGAATTCTCATTGACCCTATTTAACTCGCTTTTCTCTTTGCCCTCACCCCCTTTTTCCCTCTTGTCCCCTGTTCAAAACTCTCAGCATATTTCCTCCCTGATGGCAACCTGTTTTCCTACAGACTCACTCTGTGGAGACGCCTTATGGCTCCGTCACTTTCACTGTCTACGGCACCCCCAAACCCAAACGCCCAGCAATATTCACTTACCACGACGTGGGACTCAACTGTAAGAACTTCATTTCTTCTCCCATTTCTTTCTGGAAAGAGGCTGGAGGGCCAGAGGGGAAAACCTGGAGGGAAGGGGGAGAGTTAGTATGGTCAGACAGAGAGCTCAGTGGCATCCCAAAGAGAAGCTCTTGTCTAGTTTAACTGGCATCAAAGCCAGAGGGTGGGTTCTGACACGAGAATCCTCTTTTCCCTCTGATTTTGTTGTTGGGTGATGTGGGTTCTCTTTAGATAAATCTTGCTTCCAGCCGCTGTTTCAATTTGGGGATATGCAAGAAATCATTCAGAACTTCGTGCGGGTTCACGTGGATGCCCCTGGAATGGAAGAGGGGGCTCCTGTGTTCCCTTTGGGGTGAGGATTAGTTCTTTACCTCTTCACAGGGAAGGTGTGTATGGGGCGGGCAGAGTGAACCAGGGAGGAAGAACGGGAAGGTAGGCTGTGAAGACTCTGGCAGGGGATATGGGGGGTGGTACCCTGAGACAGGAAGGTGTGGGTATGGGTGAGCAACTTCTTTAACATCTTCTCTTCTCCAGATACCAGTACCCATCTCTGGACCAGCTTGCAGACATGATTCCTTGCATCCTACAGTACTTAAAGTGAGGGGCCTCAGGATTCTTCCAAACCAGAGCTTTCTTTCCAGCCCAAGGAAGCCCTTAGAATGTGACCACCATGGTGCTTGGGCTAATTTTGGTCTCTGGTCTCAATATACCCTTCCTCTCGCATGCTTTCACCTTGATTGTTAGGAGCAAGGGCAGTGGGCTTGGAATATTGTCTAGAATGATCAGAGTGTCTACTGCTGAATAGGAGAAAGAGAAAGGAAGGATTTGAACTTGGCCCTGTCTCAGGTTGAGGAGAGGCTTCTCTGATCCTGATGTTAGGGAGGAAGAGGTAGAAGGTGAGCTCATCCTTGAGGAACAAGATAGACCTGTCTTGCTCTCCCACTCCCGTCCTCCATAAGCACATCTGGTGCACTCAGAGCCAGGTGTGTAAGACAGAGTGGGAGAAGGGAGAGACAGCCACAGGCTCCTGTAGGATGCAGGGGGAGATACAGACTGCTGGGTTCTGTTCTGGGCCTAGATTTTCCTGGGTATCATGGCTGTCAGCCCCTCTGGTTTACTCCCTTGCCTGCTTCCCCACTTCTTCCAATTCAGTAAAATTGCATCTGTTTTCACATCTTGCTTTAAGTTCCAGTCTTCCTGTTCCTCAGGTAAAACCAGGAAACAGAACAAGTTGAACTAGCTTCTGAGAGTTGACAGTGCTCTTCTTGGAAGTGGTGGGTGAGGGAGCTGTGCTTATAGGAAGTATCTGATTGTTAGGCTGATGGATGTTTCCTTTCAATACACTAGTTCTCCAAGAGGGAGCTGAGGATAGATTTCAGGGATCTACACTGACTATGACTACTAGTGCCAACATTTGACTTCGTGGTACCTTTTTTACATTCCCCTGAAGGAAGGTCCTGGGTTGTCCTCTTTTATGGCTATGGCCTCAGGAAAGATGGTGAGGAATTTGACAAGACTGGGCTGTGACAGATTTTGACAGCCAGAGGTCATGACATGTTTTCTCTTTTACAGTTTCTCTACGATAATTGGAGTTGGTGTTGGTGCTGGAGCCTACATTCTCTCACGATATGCTGTAAGAAGCAAAAAGTACTAGGTGGGGAAGAAGAGGGTCCCCATGGATAGAATATTGCAGGCATGGAGACTCATGTCTGTAATTCCAGCATTTGGGGAGCAAGTAGGGAGCAGGATGGAGGGTCAGGTCCCATAGGAGCCCCACACTGGGTGCATCTCAGTGGGGAGAGGATGAGGATATTCAGTTTCTGATCTCCTTCCATCTGCTACCTCTTAGCTTACCCACCCGGACACAGTTGAAGGTCTTGTTCTCATCAATATTGATCCCAATGCCAAGGGCTGGATGGATTGGGCGGCCCACAAGGTTTGGAAGGCCTGTGTTCTGATATCTAGGGTGTATGACACTACCCATGTAACTGAATGGACTCCGACTTTCAAGGAGGGTGTGGTGGGGCATGAAAACGAGGCTGGGTCTCTTTGCCCCGTAATATCCTGAACTTGCTCACCCGCCCTTTTCTCATAGTTAACAGGCCTCACCTCTTCCATTCCGGAAATGATCCTTGGACATCTTTTCAGCCAGGTAGGTAGTTGTGGAAGGCGGCAGGAGTACAGGGGACCAGCAAGGGTGACTTCCTTAGTTGGGATGGGGTCAGGGGAGTGAAGATGGCTTGACTCTTTTTTTTCAATGACTGTTCACTTCTCTTTCCAACCCTAGTATACCTCTTTCTTCTGTCTTTCAGGAAGAGCTTTCGGGAAGTTCTGAGTTGATACAAAAATACAGAAATATCATCACACATGCACCCAACCTGGAGAACATTGAACTGTACTGGAACAGCTACAACAAGTGAGTGGGTTGTGTGAGCACATGAAGAGTCTGGAAGAGGTAACTGGGCCCTGAGAGAGGCACCAGGAGAGAGCAGTGTGGGAAGGGTACAGAGTGCGGCTTTAGCAGGAAAGTTGTGAGGTGATGACCCTTTCTTTTGTTTATTTCCCTCGGAATTTCGAATTCCCAGGAGTAAGACGTCTCCTTGTTCCTGTGTCCTTCCTCTCCCTTAGCTGCCCTCTGACCAGGGATCTAGGGCACAAATGATTATAGATGCTGTGCTTTTGGGATCTGCTACCTTCTATGGCTGCCTTGTTTTCCAGTGCTGGGGATTGAGCTCAGGACCTTGTCGATGCTAGGCAAGTGCTCCACCACCAAGCTACAACCTCGGCTCCCAGTGTTCTGATCACCAACAGCTGACCATAAAGAAGGGAGATAGCTTCCTAATTGGGGTGGGGGTCGGCGTAGCTTATACCTGGATGGATAGCACGGCCTACCTAAAACAACTCTTCTTTGAACCTTCTCCAGCCGCCGAGATCTGAACTTCGAGCGTGGTGGTGAGGTCACCCTCAAGTAAGACCTTGGAAGATATGGCTTTGTTCTCTCCCTAGACCTTCCCTTGGGTCCTGTTCCTTTAGTCTTCATAGAAAGCTTACCTGTCCCCTTTTATCCTGTGCTATGTAGCAAGCTGCCTCCTTTTGGGTCTTCCCGCTTTGATCCTCTCGTTTGGTCAGCAGGGGAAGGAAGACTGGTTCTTTGGAGCCAGATATTTTTCTAGTTGCTCTTCTGGGAAGTGGTGGGTGAAGGAGTGTCAGTGTTCACTGTCTGACCCTGTGCCTCTAGGTGCCCCGTGATGCTGGTGGTAGGAGACCAAGCACCTCATGAAGATGCAGTGGTCAGTGGTGAATTTTGGGGTGATGAGGGAAGCTTGGGATCAGAAGTGTTTCTTACTAAGGGGTAAACCGGGACAGGGAGATCAACTTTAGGACTTTGATTCCTGATGAAACGTAATTGGGTAGGGGGCTGACAGAGGAAGGACAAGGACCAGTATCCCTTGGAGGGAAGGGGCCGTGGAGAGGGTGACCTAATACTTCATTCACTCAGCCCCCTACCTACTCTAGGTGGAATGCAACTCAAAGCTGGACCCCACGCAGACCTCTTTCCTCAAGGTCAGTAGTCCTCCTCCAGGCCTAACCTGCCTTCCAGCCTGCTGTCCAGGGCCATAGATCCTCTCTAAAGTCAGTTTCTAAGCCTTGTGGGTTCGTCATGAGAGCTAGTGGAAGGAATGAATGCAAAAATGTGGTGGTGGGGATGGCTGCTAGGAAAGAGAGCCCTCTCCACCTCTGCATGGATCGTCTGATATATATGTGTATCATTTTTTTCCGGGCGGCTCTCTCTGGAACAGATGGCTGACTCTGGAGGTCAGCCACAGCTTACACAGGTTGGTACCCTGCAGACCTTGGGATGGGGAAATGGGATAGCATATCAGTGACACTGAGTTTTGCCCTTTATCACTGCTGTGGCCTTGGGCTCCTGGGGCATCTAACCTTATTTTACTGACTCCCCCCTTTCCTTGTAATATGCCCACAGCCAGGCAAGCTGACTGAGGCTTTCAAATACTTCCTGCAAGGCATGGGCTACAGTGAGTATTGGGACAAAGGCTCTATGAAGACAGGGCAAAGATGGGCGTCCTGAGGGTAGACCCACCTTAAGTTGATGCTTGGTTTCCCCAGCTGTCAAGTCAAGCCCACTGACCCCCTGACCTAGGCATCCACTTAGAGCTGCCAACGCTCTTCCTCACTCTTCTGACGGCCTGCTTTTCATTTGTACAGTGGCCTCATCCTGCATGACTCGCCTATCCCGGTCCCGTACAGCATCTCTGACCAGTTCAGCATCCATTGATGGCAACCGGTCCCGCTCCCGCACCCTGTCACAGAGCAGCGAGTCTGGGACTCTCCCTTCCGGACCCCCGGGGCACACCATGGAAGTCTCCTGTTGAACGACCCTTATTGCCCTGTCATGGAACCCAGCCCTGGCCTTCCACAGATCTAACCCGGGAGTTGCATCAGGGCATTGGGACAGAGTAAGCAAGGAAAATGGGAAGATCATGCAGGGAGATGACCTTGATCTTTGATTGCTACCCTAACCTTGACCTAATATAACCTGTGATTTCCCCCCAGCTCCTGGGAGAGATGTTCTAATATCTCTTAGAGACCCAGGCCCGCTAAACTATCCCCTCTCCTGTTTTGGCATTGAGAAGGCATGTGTCCTCTCTCCCTGATCTAGGTGTCTGTAGCTGAGGGATAATAGGGTGTTGTAGATGTCATGGGGCCTCCATCACTCCCTCCTTATCCCATATTTGCAAAAATGGGAGAGTTGGGCTTGGAGCTCTAGTCCCCAAAGCTGATAATGGCTTTTCCTTGACTCTTCAGGCCTCTGAAGGGAATGGGCCTAAATGAATGTGTATCAGGAGGAGGCTGATAGGTGTGTCAGTGATCCTTAGGATGTGATAGAAGCATCCAACATGTAAAAAGGAAGTTTGAATGGGAGACAGTGGGCAATGATGGATGGATTGGAGCTGGGGCAGTAGGAAGGGGCCTGGGGCCATTTGGCTGCACTAACTTTGATAGCTGTCAGTGTGCATCTAGAGTGGGATGAGGGAGGGAGCTTGGGTCAGGCTGTTTGGGGCTTGGCATAAGGGTGGGAGGGGCCACCTCAGGCTCTGGCCATACTGTTGTGTAGAGGGTAGCCTCCTGTCTCCCACAACTTCTGCTGTGACAATAAACTATAGAGGAATCTGAGCACCATTATTAATCTTGGTCTGATGTGCCTGTGTCCTGTCCCCTCTGCTGTCCTCTCCTTGTTCCTCTTAAGTGTATAAGCTGGGAGATGGTTTATGTAGCAGAAATACTCGACCACACAGGAACTGGCTCTGGATCCAGGAGAATGGTATCACTCTCTCTATTAATAGTAATTTTAAGCTTGGGAGAGAGGACCCATATAGATCTTAGAAGACATCCTTGCCATTTGTGTGTCCTTGAGAAAGGCTATAGGATTTAGAGATGCCACCAAGATCATGATCACTGAGAAAGCTGACTGAAACATTGCCCAAAAGATACCTTGTGATCCATCTTCCTGCAGAATGCTCCTTGAGGTTTACCTAGATTCTACTTTAGAGGGATTGTTCTAGATGATCAGTGGATCCAGACTCAGGATGCTATTATGCAGTTTGGGCTGCTCCTAGCTCATCCCATTTGGAAGACTCAGGAGGATCACAGCAAAAAAGGAACTCCCTTTTGGGATTTTCTTCGATCACGGAATCTAAGGGCTCTGGGAGCAAAACTGTATGGCTCTTTTAAGAGGTTTTTAAACAAATATGAGAAACCAGAGGAATTCAGATGTCTTGGAGCTGTTGCGGGTTGATTCTTGGACTCGTGAAGCACAAGAAATAATGAGGGGTTGGAGAGATGATTCAGCAGGTAAGGTGCCTGCTGTGCAAGCATGAGGCTGAACTCAGAGTTCCAGCATGCACTTAAAAAGCTGGGTGTGGCTGGGCACCTGTAATCCCAGTACTGGGAGGCAGGACAGGAGGATCCTGGGTGCTCACTAACTGGCCAATCTAGCCAATCATTGAGTATCGGTTTCATTTGAAACCTGGTGTTAGGAGAATTTTCTCCATGGCAGGGGGTCACTATGCAATGTCTACCTCCTTATAAGGACCCAGTGACAAACCAAAGTTCCATTCCACCAGAGTTCCCCTTGGGAACCAATGAGTTTATCAGATTTTCTTCCAGACATAGGTGAGGGGCTACAGGCAGGACTGTGGGTGACCCTAAACCAGCCACAAGGAAGGGCTGAGCCCAGCATACATGACTTCCCTGTGGCTCTGCATAGTCTTCCCCAGCCTCTATACTCAAGCCCCTCCCTCAGACCCCAAGGTCATGTGCAGTTTGTGCAGAAATGCATACTACTGGTTGGAAGGAGTGACTGGGTACTCGGGTGGTGGGGGGGTCCAGTTACCCTCCCCACTCTCCTCCTATGCATCAGTAAGCTCAGATGTGATTATCTTTTTTGCAAGCAGGCAGAAAGATGGCAGCTGTTTGTCTCAGTGGAGGCTGATAGAGGAAGACACCCAAAGTTGACCCCCAGACTTCACATGTTCACACGCCCTCACATACATGTAAACATACATGCATACACTACAAATGCACACAGAGTAAAAGTTTGGAAGCACTTTATAGTATTAGCAGCAAGAATATTGTGGACAGAATGTTGTGGGGTCATGGCCAATCACACCATTTCCTGAATGAAGGTGAATGATAGACTGATCCAGTTGTCATCTAGTGTTCGCATACTGATGTGGAAGTGAGATAGAATACATCCTTGATGCTTTCTTTTTTCCTTTGTGTGGTGCTGAGAATTGAACCAAGGACCTCATGCGTGCTAGGTAAGTGCTGTGTCACACTGAGCTATATATACCCTTTAGCTCTAAGCCTACTTGAAGTGCGATAGGCCAGAGTTGGGAGAGGAACAGAGGTTTTGGGTGTTAGTAGGTTACAGAGCTGGCTGTTGGATGGGTGTTGGGTGACCACATGTGGTTCAGGCCACAAAGATTGCTGAAGTGCCTCACTGAGGGGAAAAGGGTTATAATCGCAGGTACCATTTAGTTCCTGGGCAAAACATGAGGAAAAAGCAAGGAACGACCACCAGCACCAGCCTCCACTGGCATAGCTGCTGTTGTGTGTTATGGAAGAGAAGGCAGATCTTTGTCCTCTGTGTGCCTACAAAGGTAATATACTGTTATAGTAATTTTCAGAAATGGGAACAAATGACATTTAAGTGTACATATGTATATCATGTAGGTACATGTGTGAAATGGGTGGTGATTACATGTCTCCTATAGATGTTTCTGCACAAGAAATCTAAGGTAGAAGGAGATGGTCTATTGGAATGGGGCGGGGGGCAGGGAATTGGCTGTCCTCAGTTGACCCTACCTTTTGGTTCTGCACATTTTAGACTAACCCTTGGAGACACAGTGCCCCCCTGTGGTTGGCAAGTTCTTTACCTGGTCCCTTTCTGAGTTTCCCAGTCCCTTCGAGCCCCTTTGTTCTTTGCAGTTCTGCCCAGTGGCTATGTAAAGAGGCCCTGAAACCGTGACCTGTGGTGTCCACTCTCAGACTCAGCGCAGAGGCTCAGGGCCCCACAGGGTGTCATTTGATAGAAGCCGAACCACTTTGTCTTTAGGCTTAGGATTCCTGTTTATCTCTTGCTTTATTCCCAGGTGATAGTGCTTAAGGGACAGCTAAGAGAATATTCAGTGAGTGCAACACAGCAGAATAGAATGAAAATAGAATCTGAAAGTTCTGGATCTCATAAGAGATTTTCAGGAAACAGTATGAGCTTCATAATGACACTTTGCTTGCCCAGGGACCACACGTGTGATGGCAGTCCCTAAGATTCTGCTGCTTAATGACGACAGTTTTCATGGGTTGTGTAGTACATTCTGTAGTTTTCACAGTGACAACTATCCTTAATGTGTATTTCTCAGAACCCATCCCTGTCTTTAAGCAACTGTACTCATGAAACAGTGCCTTTATAGTAGGAAGGGACAGATGTTAAACATGGTTAGGGAAATATTGGAGACACCACTTTCCTGGAGAGATTTTAGGACTACCTGGAAAATACAGTCAATTCTGACTAGGGGCTCAGGATTTGGTAAGAATATATAGTGTCCAGGGCCATGTCACCTATTTTGCCAACAGAAAGATTTCCCTCTAATAGGATAAATATAAAGTAAACACAGAGTACATTCTGTGTTTGACATTCAAAAAGTGAAAGACAGTCACTTAGAACACAAAATATGATTTAATCTATGACCAAGGTTTTGTAAGCACTTCACAGGCTGGTACCTGAGGCATAATCCATTTTGCTTCCCCTTCAGTGGGTTCCCCCTCGGGTCAGCTGGGGGGACATGAAGGTGTCTGTACAATAACACATTACCAACACTGAAATTCTGGCAGCTGTTCTTTGTACTCCATGAAAAAGCCACAATTTTCTGTTGTGAAGGAGGTAAGATGCTCAACCAGTTTTAAAAGGGCCAAGAGGCACAAATCACCTCAGGAGAGAGTCTGGAGCTTTGTTTCTTGTCCTGGAGGTATCTCATCCTCATATGTTAATTTTTTTTTTTTTTTGAGATACTCACTATGTAGACCAGGCTGGCCTTGAACTCACAGAAATCCACCTGCCTCTGCCTCTGCCTCTGCCTCCCGAGCGCTGGGATTAAAGGAGCGTGCCACCACATCTGGCTTTCTTTTTCCTATTATTTGGTGATTCTGGGGATTGAACTCAAGACTTCACACACACTAAGCAAGTGACTACCAACATACTGATTTCTGACCTCTCGCTGCTCTGCTCAAGTAAATTCCCTAAACTCTGGCTTCCCTTGCTTTCTTTACAAATTGCCATCCTGCAACTGTAACATCAAAACCAAACTAAACCAATCCCTCAGCCTAAGTTAAAGGTTACTTCTGTTAACAGTTTACAGGTAGCAGAAACAGAAGCAGGCTCTCTGAAGGGGGGTGGTTGGAGGCCTAATTCTTCTGCTCTCTTCCTAGGTAT